GGAACTGTGAACACAGATACACACACAGGGAGAACGCCATGGGAAGGCAGGACTAACGCTGCTCTGAGTCTAGGAAGTACCAGAAGCTCAGAGAAAGGCCTGGAACAGATCCTCCCCTGGTGCCTTCAGAGAAAGCACAGCCTACCAACCCCCTGATCTTGGGTTTCTGGCCCCCGGGCCCTGAAAGGATAAAGCTCTGTCTTTTCAGCCCCTCAGTCTGTGGATGTGCTGTGTGGCCAGTGGGGAGGACCCATGGCCACGCTTTGTGGATCTGCTGGGAGCTGGCTCTTTCCATCGCAAGCTCCACTTTCCAAACCTCAGATGGGACTATTTGATGATGCTCTCTTAGTCTCCTAGGGCTGCTGTAACAAATGACCACAAATGGGGTGGCTTAAAACAGCAGAAATTTGTTCCCTACTAGTTCTGGAGGCCATAAGCCTGAGATCAAGGTATCAGCTTCCAAAGGTTCTCTCTTAGGAAGCTCTGAGCAATGGAGGGAAAACGAACCAGAAGACACATGGAAGAGGCAGTGAGGGGCACCCTTGAAGAAACTGAGGTCCCAAGGTTGCAGAAGCTCCTTGGGTGAACTGTCCATCTCCAGGGTCTCCCCATCCTCTGAGGACATTCCCAAGCAATGAGGACTATACCATGTGATAGCCTAACCATCTCTGATAGGCCCAAAGTAAGCCAATCAGATTCTTGGATAGCACAGTGGGAGGAGGGCTGGATCCTTCTGAGGCTGTGAGGGAGAATGTCCATGGCCGCTCTTCCAGCTTCTGGTGGGTCTCGCAATCCTTGTCATTCTTGGCTTGCAGATGCATCACTCCAGTTTTTGTCTGTGTTGTCCCATGATCATCTCCCTGAGCATCTGTATCTAGATTTCCCTCTTCATATAAGGACACTAATCATTACATTAGGGCCACCCCCTACTCCAGTGTGACCTCACTTTAACTAAATGACGTCTGTAGAGACCCTATTTCTAAATATGGTCCCATTCACAAGTACCAGGGCATCAGGAATTCAGCAAGTCTTTTTGAGGGACACAATGCAACCCATAACAGTGGCCAAATCCGGGTCCACAACTGTATGATTTTCCTGCGGCGACCATTAAGAGCGCTACAAAAAGACAATGTATCCTCTCACATTCTGGAGCCCAGATGCCTGAGATCACAGTGTTGCAGGGCCCTACTCCCTCCGGAGGCTCCAGGGGAGTTTCTTTCCGTTTCCTCTGGCTTCTGGGGGCTCCAGTGTCCCTGGGCTTGTGGCTACATCACCCCAGTTTCTGCCTCTGTCTTCACATGGCTGTCTTTTCTGCTTCTTCTTTTTAGGACATCAATCATTGGATTCAGAGCTTACCCTAATCTAGCGTGATGTCATCTGAAATAATTATATCTGCAATGACCCTATATCCAAATACAGTCACATTCTGAGGTTCTAGGTGGACATGAATTTTTGGGGAGATGCAATCCAACCTCTACCATGCCTGGGCCCTGGCCCCCTGGGAGTGGGGTGAAGAGCTCCTCATTGTAGTTCTTAGTTACAGATAGATCACTGCATGCCCCACATTCAGGTGACTAAACCACTAAGCCATCCTGGTTTGCCAAGACTTCTGCGTTTTAGCACTGACAGTCCCAGGAGACCCAGGAAAACTGGGGTGCCTGGTCACCTTACACTGTATCACAACAATGGGGTAGGCAGGTGCCCAAGAAGCCACTTGTGAAAGGCAGCCACTACCTGGTCACACATCACAAGTCAGTTGCCTCCTCCCACTGTGCTATCCAAGAATCTGATTGGCTTACTTTGGGCCTATCAGAGATGGTTAGGCTATCACATGGTATAGTCCTCATTGCTTGGGAATGTCCTCAGAGGATGGGGAGACCCTGGAGATGGACAGTTCACCCAAGGAGCTTCTGCAACCTTGGGACCTCAGTTTCTTCAAGGGTGCCCCTCACTGCCTCTTCCATGTGTCTTCTGGTTCGTTTTCCCTCCATTGCTCAGAGCTTCCAAAGAGAGAACTTGACTTTTCCCAATCACTCCTGTGCATAAGGCACTATGACCCATTTTGGGTTGACAACTCTTCCACTGCAGCCACTGGGACTGGGGTAGGGGGTCCCTGGCACCTCCTCAGAACAGTGGGATCCAGCACTACCCACTGGTGGAAGGCAGCAGCATTGGAGTTTCAAAGCTGGGGGTCAGCTAAGTCCCTTCACCTCTCTAAACCTTGGTTTTCACATATTGAAAATGAAAATGTGTAAGTTTAAGCAAATCTCTGTGCCATGTGGGGAGAGCCCTGGCTGCTGGGGAAGCTAATTAATTCAATTTCATTAAAGTGAACCAGGGCACCTGCTTATGCCTGTGCTGGTGCTGGACACCTGGACACAGCCCTGAGCCTGCCCTGGGCTCTCTTTAATGAGGGGGACACAGCTCGACCTACTTCTTGTAAGAGTAAAAAAAATAGAAGGAGGTGCTTCCTGTTGGGTCCTCCATGAAATCATTTGGGATTTACTGGCAAAGATATTGTTTGATTTTTGGGGGTGGGGGGAGGTGACAGGGAGACTGGCTCATCCTCTGTTCACTGTTATTATTTTATCAAGAACCCCAAAGGGGCTATTTTCCACTCAGCTTTCCCAACAGTGTCTTCATGATCAAAGTCAAAACAGAAAATGTGGACCACATTTGTAGCTGGTTTAAAATGAGAGAGCTAGAAAGGTGGTTTGATTTTTCAAAGATCTCAAGTGACTAGACAGAAATATGTTCATTTGAGGCCAAAGGCATTATGCTACAGGGTTTTTTTCTCCCCAATTAGGATTTTATTTATTTTTAGAGAGAGAAGAACATTGATGTGAGAGAGAAACATCGATCGATTGCCTCTCATATGTGCCCTGACTGGGGACCAAACAGTGCAACTCAGGCACATGGCCTGACCAAGAATCGAACCAGAGAACTTTCACTTTGTGCAACAATGCCCAACCAACTGAGCCACAGCAGTCAGGGCCTATGCTACAGTTCTTTGTTCATTAATTCATGGATACATGTGTTAGACCCGAGGGAACTAGTTAATCCTAACCTACAGATGAACATGTGGAGGACCAGAGAGAGTCAGTGACCTATCGTTACACAGCCTCTGGCAGGCACAATCCCTAAATTGGCCTTTCTGCATTCTTTCAGCTGCACAAACCACCCTGCCTTTTACAGGGTCAAGGCTGGAGCTCAGGTTTAGGGCTGAAATACCTCTGGAGCTGGCCCCCTGGGAGCTGAGGGCCTGAAAGCAAACTTTCCTGAATGTCGAGTGGAAGAGATGGAACAGGGAAGTCTGAGGAGGACCAGAATCTGGGAGGACCATTGAATTCATTCGTCCCTTCCTTCCTTCATTTGCCATACACAGACTGAGTGGCTAGTGTATTTACAGGCACAGTAGTGAGCAAAACAGTCACAGTCTTTGGCTTGGCATGGCTGGAGAAGTAGGATATTTTAAGCACACTCCTTTATGGTAAGGCTCAGGTTGGAGAGAGTCAGGATGCAGTGAGAAAGGACAACAGGGGACGTGCCATGGGCTTCCTAGAGGCGGTGACGTGGAAAGTGACTGTAGGAGGGGAAGGACTGGGGTAGAACAAGCCTTAAAGCCTGCCTCTGCAAGGGCCTGGCTTGGCCTCAAACCACTGCCATTCCACTGTTCCACTCCACTTGAATTCTCCTCCCCACTTTTTCCTTTTTGTATTTTTTAAGGTTTTATTTGCTTTTTTTAGAGAGAGGGGAAGGAAGAGAGAGAAACATCAATGTGTGAGAGAAACATCGATCGGTTGCCTCTCGTATGCAGCCTGACCAGGAACCAAACATGCAACCCCGGCATGTGCCCTGACTGGGAACTGAACCGGAGATCTTTGGGGAATGACGCCCAAGTAACTGAGCCACACCTTTGGGCAACTGAGCCACACTGGTCAGGGATCCTCCCCCTACTTTTTCTTTGCACCTCATCTGGGACAATAGTCAAGAGACCAAGGAATCTTCCTCCCATCTGATTGCATCTAGATGCGGCCCAGTTCCTTCGCCCCACGCCACGTTGTAACACCGCCTGAAACCACCGTGTTAATTTATTTAACGTCCTGTCCCCACTTCATCCCCGGACTGAGCACTCCCTAGCAAGCGACGCCGAGCCCACCTCACCATTATATTCTCAGAACCGACTGCAGGCACTTATAAAACACTTGAATGGAAGCGTCTCCTCCAACGTTAACATGCTCCCAGAAGGTACGCGGGGCATGAGGGTGGACAGCACTGTTTCTCCATGCCCGTTCTGGGTGGAGCTGGCCCTCACAGCGCGTACTAGGCTAGTCACCCTCTCCCCAGGCCTCCTCTCGCCCGGGCGGGGGGGTGAGCAGTGAGAATTACCGAGGGCCAGTCTCTCGCAGGGTCTATATTCCACAGGAGAGCATAGAAGCATCCCGAGCATCGGGCGACCCACGGCAGACGCGGTCCGTGCTGAGCCCTCCTTTGCCACTCGCTGACGTCACAACTTACTAGGACACAGCTAAGCCCGGCCACACCGCTAACCCAATGTCCTGGAGTCCTTTACTCTTCCCGGCCCCACCCAGCCCATCTCCAACCTCCCGTCCCGGAAGTCAGCTAGTACCAGAGCTGACCACGCCCCCGGCACCGCCCGGTCATGACGTCAAGTGGCGAGACCATGATGTCACAGAAGCGCGGCGGCGGCCGGCCACGCCTTGCCATGGCAACGGCTGAATGAGCTCGGGCGGACGGCGAGAGAACCGCCCCTCTAAGGGTGGACGCAGCCGGACTCCCTCTCGGCCTACATACTCTCCCGCAACTGTGAGACTTCGGTGGCCGCGCAGGCAGCAGCCTGACTACCCTCGAGCGGCCGCAAAGCGCGACAGCTGTCGTTAGCGCTACCCGCTGCCGCAAAGCGGGGAGTGCGCCGCTGGTCCCCACCCCGCGCTGTGACGTCGACGCGCGCCCTGCGGCGGCGGCGGCTGCGCAGTGGGCGCCGCGCCCTCCCCGCGACGCTGGTGGCGTAAGCGCGGGCCGCGGCGGCGCTGCGAGACGGGCGAGCCGGGCGCCCGCGCGGCGGGGACGGCCCGCGCCCAACATGCGGAGGCCGGCGGTGCGGGAGCGGGGGCTCGAGCGGGCGCCGGAGCCGGAGCGAGAGCGGGACCCGGAGCGGCGGCCCGCGCTGCGCTGCTGAGGGAGCCTGGGCCACCCAGCTCGGCCGGTTGGTCGCGGGGCCACGGCGGAGGCGGAGAGGTAACGACGCGCGCGCCCTCGCCGGCTGCCGCGGCCACGCGCCCGGCCCTGCGGCCCCACCCCCGCGGACCCTGATCCCGTCGCCCCTACACCCAACGCACTCCGCTACTCCTGCAACCCACACTCTGGACCCCCGCACCCCAGATTCCTGGGTCCGTACAACCCGCGTATCCCCGTACTCCGAACCCTGTTAACCCCCACTCCCACTGACCCCGCACTCCGGGCCACGTTGCTCCAATATCTCCCTGACCCCCACAGCACACTTGAGACTCCACCCTACAGCCCCCTGACCTCCGTACTCTATACTCTTACTTCTCCTTCCTCCCTGTACTCTGAACGTTGTCCCCCTAGTGACCCCCAAACCTAGGCCTTGCCATCTCTCACATACATTCCAGGCCCAGCTGCTCACATTGACCCCTTTCTCCAGGCTCAGATGCCTTCACTCATCCCTCATCTCCAGACTCTGCTGTCTTCTCTTAACTCCTCACTCCAGACCCTGCTGCCCCCACTGTCCATTTAGCCCTACCCTACCTACCCCTAGTGCTTAAGCTCACTGTCCACTCCCCCTGGCGCCCACTCCTCCAGCTCTTTTTTCTGGACCCCTGCCTCTGCCCACCTGATTGGTTCGTACGTCCCTCCCTACAGTGGCACACATTTTCCCTCCTCTTTGTAGTGTTGAAGGTCTTTCAGGGAGAGCCCAGAGGAAAGCTTTGGGTGGGCAAGGGGTGTGCGGCAAGGAGGGGCATCAGCTTGGGTGACCTGTTGCAGGGTGCTGCTCAGGAACTCCCAGCTTTTAGTCTGGCTTCGCCCTCCACCTTCCACCCTCATCACTAGCTTTGCTGTGTGGAAGGGCTTCAGATCCCAGAGGGGTGGTGGGAGGTCTGTGCACCTCCCTTGCCATCCACACTGATCCCACCACTAATCCCTGCCCTGTTCGGGATAGTGCCTCCCCTTCCCTCTCTACCCCAACTTTTTTCCAGGGGCTAGTGGCTGGGGGCCTAAGAGAAAGCCTTGCAGTGACGTCCAGGGTGTCGTCTTGGGAGGCTGTGGGGCAGCTGAGTTATTCACGGCATTGTTTGAAGAAAATGGCCATGGAAGGTTTCCTGCGTGTAGGTGGAGTCTGGCATTTTCCCCCCAGTTTCTTCCACAGGGACACCCAGGCCTGGCCAGTGTCTGGGACTCCAGGAATGGCTGCGTGTCCCTCTGGTGGTGCTCCATCTGGTGTGACCGAGGCTCCCTCGGTCCTCTGTCCCTGCTGGGGTGGGGAACACGTACAGGCTCCGCTGGCATTTGCCAGCCAAGGCTCTTGGGAGTGAGATGAGTTGGGGAGCACAAACGCTCCCGTGGAGGGGAAAACCACCTAGCAGGAGCTGCTCTGATCAGGGAAGGGGCGACCACTGCAAGGATACAGTCACCCCTATGAAGAACAGATTGTGAGCCAGGCCCATAGGTTTGAAAGGGGGAAGTTTGCTGTGGTTGCCAATAGTTGGTTTCTGTTTTTCGCTGTGTCTCCACCAAATTGTGCTCTGAGAAAGGAAGCACTCTGGGCTCTGCAGACTGATGGGCAGGGGCCTGGTATAGCATCCCCAGATGCTCACACGGGCCTCCTCTCTCCGGGGCCCCAGGTGTTTGCACCCCCCGCTGCCCCCGCTCCTGTGGGTTCTCTGGCCATGCCTCTCAGGAATGGAATGGTAAAGCTGCTTGGGGTGCTGAGAGTGGGGCCAGCTTAGGGGGCCAGTTGTGGTTGCTGTGGGTGGAGATGTGGCCATGTTGCAGGGGTGGGGAGGCTCTCTAGAAGGAGCTGACTGGACTCTCCACCCCAGCAGTAGGGGACAGCACAGGTCTGGTTTTTCCGTGCGCCATTGGCAGTCAGCCCGTTTCTTGTAAAGTGGCTTCTTGTCTGGTTCTAGTACCTCTAATTTCTCTGAAGCAGATGACGATGGGCATCCCATTACCTGGCTCTGGGTGTTCCTGTGCTGTGACAGCAGCCCTGTGCACATTGACTTTTTTAACAGCTGGTTCTGGTTCTATCTGACTCTCGTTCTGATTATATAGTAATTCTCTCTGGGTAGCAAGAGGAAGCAGGTGAGGTTTTATAAAACTGAAAACCTTCCTGTGTGCTCACCCTAGCTTTGGGGAAGCCAGCATGCCAGCTGAGAGGTATCCTGGAGAGCTGTGAAGCCACCTGCATCTTTGGGAATTTACTGGTGGGTCTGAGCAAGGTCCCTGCGAGGCTGAACTTAGGGACAATGGCATCTCCCCTGGGATATCACTTGTCCCATCGTTAATTTTGCCGCCCCTTCTGTGTCCCCAGGAGCTGCCCCAGGCAACTCCAGGAACAGCAGCGTACTTCATTATTGTAGTTGTGAAGTTGGGTCCCTGTCTTGGCACATATTTTCTGGGCTCGGAAAACCCAGGGGTGAATGGACGGGGCAGGGAGCTGGACTAGGAATAGGAGAAGTGGGACATCTTTGGAGCTGGGCACAGGTTACAGTATGGCAAGGGCCACCAGCCTTCAAGCCTCCGTGGTGTTGGGTGGATCAGCTACCTTTGTTGTAACCCTGAAGGGGAAGTCAGGTCCCTGTGAAGGGGCCCAGCAGGTGGCTGAGATCTGGTTCTGGTGGTGGAGCAGCAGTAATGGGGGCTTCGTCTCCTGCTGGTGGCTGCTGTTATGCTCAGTGGAGGCCTTGCTGTCCTGAGTTGTGGCTGCCTGGTGGGGACTGTCGCTGCAGGTAGTGTCTCTCCATACTGGCACAGCTGTGGGCTTCCGAGCAAAGGCCTGGCTGGTCTGGAAGGCCCCTACCTCGGGCCACTCTGCATCTGCCTCCTCCCCCTTTGGGAGCTTTGTAGAGCCTTGCTGGGCACCCTCCTGAGTCCTCATTTTACGGATGAGGAAGTCAAGGCCTGAGTGGCCTGCAGGAATGAGAAGGATCTGGCTCCGACGAGGTTTCTTGGTAAACAGGGTGCCACGGTTCTGGGGCCCAACATGTACCCCCACCTGGCTCTGCTGTCACCCAGTCCTCCTCCAGATCCTGTCTGGGGTCCCCTCCCCTAGAACTCCTTAGGGCAATGAGAGGGCCCCTCCTCAGAGCCTTCCCCCATTCAAGCCGGCCCCCTCAGGACAGGCCCTTGCTCACCTAGGAGTTCAGCAAGTACCCACATTTGGAGGCTACGTTAATAGTAAAAGGCAGCTTCCTTGCTATGAGTTTTTGTCGGCCTTTGTTCAAAGTCAAATGAAGTAGCATACTACATGTGGAATGTAGTGTGCTCCTAGGTTATGTCCTCAAACTCCACAGAAGCATGTTGATGAGGAGGAGGGAGGACCAAGGCTGGCAGAACACATGGAGGTGTGAGAAGGTTCCTATTGCGGGCAGGGCAAGCGCTGCCTACTTGGGGTGCAGCCACCCTGGTTGCATGAAGGCCAGAGAACGCAGGGCTCACTGTGCCTGGCTCTGCAGGACAGGACTCTGTCCTTCTAGCAGCTCCCCTTCCAGAAGCGAGAGTCTGGCAGAATGCTCGTGGGAGAGTGGAAGAGCGCTTGTGGTCCTTGGGCCTGTCCTGCTCAGAGCCTCCCCCAGCAGCAGGCAGGGGCCCCAGGTGCAGCCGGGTGCCCGAGGTAGTCCTGGGTCATCCTGAGTTGTCCTGGGTCATGGTGGGGTCTGAGGTAGCCCTGGAGCAGGTGATTGTTATTTAGAAGGTAGAAGTATGTATAATATGTCATTATGTACCATGACTTTATGTTGGTCCATGATTCACCTTAGAGTCTTAAAAAAATTGTGCTTAAAGGTAACTTCTCACTTTTCCAGAAATCTCCCTCTGAGGATGTGAATTTTGGGGCAGTGTCACTGTAGGGCCCCCAGCCTCCATGGGGACCTTGTCTTGGAGGTAGCCCTGAGCTATCAAGTGTGACTTGTCTGTCATGGGAGCCTTTGCTAGCTGTGGTCCTGGCAGGGCCAAACCGGTGGGCACATGATGAGGCTCTGCTCGGATGGAGAGTGGGCACCCAGTGGTCACCCCAAGAGCAGCCTTGACTGCCCGGCAGGGAGAGAGCCAAGCAGCTCAGACGCCTGTGAGCGGGTTTCTAGATTTCTTCTTCAGCTAAGCCAGTGCTTCTCAAGTTTTCCCAAATTCACTTGAGTGTCTCAGAGAGTAGGCATCTCACACAGAGCATTATGGGCAGGGGGCTCTCGGAGAGACTGGCACAGACCCCTGTGGCTCATTGCTTCTAGAAAGGTTTCTGGACCGGTCATTACAGAGCCTTTCCTGTGTGATGTGTTGAGGCCACCCTGGGACTCAAGGATCTCCCAGGGACGGGGCTTTCCTCGCAGCAGCCCCAGTCGTGAGGACCGCAGATATCCCAAGGTCTCAGGTGGAGAAAGGACATCCTGCTCTTCCCTCCAGGAACTGGAAGGCTAAGGAAGAAGGTGGGGAGGCAAAGTGAGGGGGGCTGGTTCCTCCATCCTCACTGCTCTGCCCTTCAGAATGAGGCCCCTGGGTTCTTCTGCATCTTCCTGGCCCTGTTCCCATCTCCAGGCCCTCAGGGGTAGAGTTAGACCTCTGACCCTGCTTTCTCTGGCTTCCTCTGCAGGCTGGGCACTCCGTCCCTCTGGACACCTGCTAGACGGGAGACAGCTAGGTAGCTGGTTAGGGGACCGCCTTCCCTGTTTTAGGAGAGCATGTAGTACAATGGACAGGACAGCTGCTCTGCTGTCCTTCCTCCTAAGCCGGGGGCCCAGCTCCGCTGGCCCCAGTGCATTTCATGCCCTCGCCTGGTGGGTTGTGGGGGGAATACCAGGTGCTTCTCAGCCCCAGGCCTCAGCTTCCCTGTCTGATAGGGTCACACTGGTACCTGGCTCATGGTCAGTGACAATTACTTGAGAGGGGCAGATACTCAAGATCCCTGGCGAGGCTGGTAGCTTGGGACGTGAGCTGCATAGGTACTTGACAGTATGCCAGTAGCCTCGTTAAGAAGCAAAAAGCACAGGTAAAAGTCATCTTAA